ACCCAATACTGTATCTATTATCTCATTTAGCGTGTAACATTAACAGGAGGAAAGATTGTGACATATGACTGCCATAACTGGGAAGACCAGCATTTAGAAATGGGATAGTCAGAGACCTTTCCTCCCAATACCAGCTTGACAATTTACTCTTACTCTAAATCAGAAAAAACAATGTTCATACATGTTGGAGACAGAATCTTAGCTGCATATGAGGGGAGATGATCTAGCTAGCAATTGCACTGTGCAATTGTTTTATAAAATCATGTTATGGGAATGTTGGTGTATAGTAAAATCTGGCAATGAATGACTACAGTACTACATACATCTTGGCAAAAACTACTGCACATCTGCCACTTTTGGTTGAGTAGTTGATAATTTTCTGAACAACGTCCTATAAAATCTTTTCTACAGCAGTAATTCTTAGCTGATGAGCATTTTACCCTGCCCTGTCTACCTTGAAATGTTCACAACAGGTAGGAAAAAGTCCCTGTGCCTGTCTAAGCTTTGAAAGTTGACTGCATTATCAATACATTTTTGTACTATACAGTTGTTGAGATGAAAAATAAGAATGTCTACATAATGTGTACATGTAGCACATTTCATTTACAGTCAGTGTTTTTACATACAGTATGCCAGAACAAATTTTGTTATTACACTAATAGTACTAGAATCATATTACTAGTCATAATCATGTAGAAGCCACAAACAAAAGATACTACATGTATACATAAGGATATAGAAAGACAGCACAAGTAGATACAGAAGAGTAGGATATATGAATGATGCGCAGGGTATCTGTATGACGATTTATACAGTGTTTCTAGCTGGGTTTGAAGTTTGTGCCGGGAAGGGAGGCCTTGTCCAAGTCATCAAAGTAAGGATGTATCAAGGCAGCCTTGGCTGAGATACGGTTTGCAGGGTCGTAGATCAGGGTTTTCTGTGAAACAAATCAAATCACAACACAATTTTAGTAAAACACAGGACAGAAGACACAAATGTTTTGTTTCAGTGATAAGTTTTTAAAAGTAGCTAGAAGGTAGTATATTACTTATTACCACAGAGCCTAACTAGAATGTATAGACAGAAAGTTCACTTTTTAGTCAGTGCTATCTAGGGCCATGTCTAGGTTCATATTATGATAATACTAGTAAAAGTAGTAAGCTAATTATAACAGGTGGTTAATGGATACCTTTTCACAATCATACAACACTCTAGACACTAGTTGGTTTTTTATCATTTACTGGATATTTCAAGTGATTGTAATAGCCTGTAAAGTTACTTGCACTGGTGAACATGCAGTCAAAAATTATGTGCACCCCTACAATTTTATGATCACAAAAGTGTGCATACAACAAGTGGTAGTTCAACTTATGAGGATATATTGGGGGTTAAAAACAGTGAATTTACCTGCAGCAGGTCCAGCGCCTGGTCGTCCATGTTCTTGACGGAGCTCTTGAGCTGGTTTGGACTGGTTTTCCAGCTGGGGAAGCTGGGTTTGTAGTCAGGCAGCTGGGTCACGCCCGGCCAGATGTCGTCTGTAGGGGTGCCCATGGTCCTGGGGTGGGGAGGGGGGCACAAATCTTGTTATTCATCCAGTAACATTACTTCACTGTCCCATGTGTTACCTATATTTGTGCTGCATATGCTACAGTGATTATTTGACAAGGCCATACTGATTTGTTTATGATAGAGATGACATCCTCTGAGCTCCCAAAACTGATGCATGCGTGCGAACAGGATGAAAGTTACGATGACATACCAGAATACCAAAACAATAAATTCTATGTTTCTTTCTTTCACATCTTCTTTGACCTTGGTAGACTTTGCTCAAGGCTTGAAATACAAGTTTATGACAAAATCAGTAAGTACATGTATCTGCATAGCCGGTCTAACCACCCTTCGGTGTAACATCCCGGCTTCACAGGAACATGAACCAAGTACTAGTATTAAAAAAAAATGCAGTTATTGAAATTCTTTTGTAATTAGAGTAGGCTAGACAAACTCACAAAGTCAAGATAATTTGTCCCAGAATCAGTACCTGAAAATTCTGAAGAGCTGGTCGATCTCGGAGTCTCCGTGGAAGAGCGGTCTCTTGGTGGCCATCTCGGCGAAGATGGTGCCGATGCTCCAGATGTCGACAGGCGTGGAGTAGCGGGGAGACCCCAGCAGGACTTCAGGGGCACGGTACCACAGGGTCACCACCTGGAGGACACATCCACACAGACAGTTGTCAATCATGACTTCTTAATCAAGTCTTCTTAATGTTATATAGTATACTTTTTTCTAATGTCTTGAGTCTGGTCTATCTGGCATCACAACACTACAGCCTTAAACAATAATGGTTACCTGTCTAATGCTGTTGACATACTGTAATTCACTTTGTGTTCATGATCTGAGAAAAATGAATGGTAGTGGGAGTGGACAGGAGGCAAAGAGAAATGATTTGACAACAGTAGTAGTAATGATAAATTGATGGTATAAAACTTTAGAAAAGAAAATGATTGGAAACAGTGAACGTAAAGGACATGAAAAAATCAGGAATTACATTATTCAAGTCCTTTGGGTGGTCCCTGTTAGTGTAGACAGGTTTCATGGTAATCTCTCACTGTTGGCTGGTGTACTCCATGTTACTCCATCTGTACACCTAACAAGCTTACCTCGTGTGTGTAAACCCTGACTGGGATCCCAAATGCCCGAGCCAGGCCAAAGTCTGCCAGTTTGATGATCCCCTTGTTGTCGATCAGGAGGTTCTGCGGCTTCAGGTCGCGATGTAACACACGGCGGGAGTGACAGAACACGATACCCTGCAGGATCTGGTACAGGTAGCTCTGCGGAGTACACAACAGTACGTATTGTTACACCGTGTATAAACAACTATGAGTTCTTGTAAGAAAAGTGGCTGTAAAAACTTCTTAGTTCCACAACAACACTCACTCAGTCACTCACTATCAAGGCTTTGATCAACAACAAAAAAAGGAATGTTAGCATGTGTCTTATTGTGTTGGTAGAAGTCATTCTAAAACAGATCTGAACTGTAATTTCCGTTACAAAAAGACAGTTTCACAAAACTTTTCACTGTTCAACACTGTTCAAACTTAGTCTTTGTCAAGGAATGGCATCTTGGTTTGCAAAGACTGGAGTTGACAACTTGAAATTGGAAAGAAGTCTTTCTTGGTAAAGATTGAAGATGAACAGCTGAAAATTGGAAAGGAGTCTTTCTTGACAAAGGCTGGAGTTGAACAGTCAAAAATTTGGTCCAATCTTTTTGTAATGGAAATAACATTTTAGAACTGTTTCAGAAAAGGAATGCTTTACACGTACCTTGACCAGCATAGTGTCCATGTACTGTCCAGAGGGGATGGAGTCCATGTACTTCTTCAGATCCATGGTCAGGAACTCAAACACCAGGTACAGTTTAGACTCCTGCATCAGGACATCCTGTAGGCTGGGACATGGATGCAACAATTTTTTTTAAAGATAAGCAGACATAACTACTTTCGTTACTAAGCTTTCAAGCTAGATCATAGATGTTTTCCAACCATCTAGTGATCATGAGGTTGCACCTACTGCAATTGGTGACAACTTCTGGGAAGAGGTTTTGAACACTTGAATCCTAGGTTGAAAACTTTGGTATTTGAAGGTATGACCGTTGACTACTTTTTGTTCTTTTCTGGGAAGATATTGATAAATAGCCTGGGAGCCATCCTCCGTAGTTTCCACTGGCTCCCTAATGTCGCTGGCTACCTCCATGACCGTCAGAAACTACGGAGGATGGCACCCAGGCTAGATATCAAATACTTGATAGATGGTATGTCCACCAGTTTTATATTACAACATAGACACACCATATTTATAGTGTACATGTCTTTTGATGGCCAGTCAGGACTCAGAATGAGCCTGTACTGTGACTTACCAGACAATGTTTGGGTGCATGAGTTCCTTGAGCAGGGAGATCTCCCTGATGGCTGTACTGGGCACTCCTTCCTCCTCACTCTCCAGTCTGATCTTCTTCAGAGCCACCGTCAGACCTGTCTTCTTATTCCTCCCCTTGTACACAACCCCATAGGTACCTGGTGTGGTCAGAAACAGTGTTTGTGTCAGAAGTTCTCAGAACATTCCAGGAATGTTTATTACTGGAGTGTGTAGCAAAACTAGTCTGCAGACATTGGGTGTTCTGTACTTATTTGGGGGGAAATTTGGCATTCAACTGCACAATACAAAGAATTTTTCAGTAACACTCAATAAGGATAACAAATAAATGTGCCATGTGGAATTAATGTGACCAATTCATTTTTCAATTACGCTTCAGGAAGAATTTTCAGACGATGCTCAAGACTCCTTTTCCAGACTGACTAAATAGTAGAAATTGGCCTAAAAAGGGATATCATTGGCCAGAGGAGAGGGCCGCCGATAGAATCTCCATTTTGCCTACAAGTGGTTGGCTAACAGGAAAAGGCATGCAGGCTCATGTTTTATTACCTCCCAAGTAGCAAGCCTCAACTTGTGTGGACTGATATGACTCCCTCCCAACTAGCTGTCATCATCTTGCATTTAAACATGTCTATTTAAAAGCCTTTTGTCAAATTTGACTGGTGAAAAAAATGTTGAAAGTGACGATATGTGTTCATGGTTTCCTGGCTAAATAAAGAATAAATGAAAATAAATGAAATGTTTGGGGCAGGTAATCATGTAAAACCCATGAGGTAGAAGCTAGTAACTGACATGAAACTGGTGGCATATAATTTTTGCACCAGTTAAGGTTGTTTACCAGTTCTGCAAACAAACAAACAGCTGCAAGAAGGGAGACATGAACAAAACCACCTCAAATTCCAATAAAATGGAAATTTTTCATATGCCGTGCAAGCATCCACATCTTGAGTGCATAGTTGTATTATAACTTGTATAGCAAACAAACAAAATCTAATCATTCAATCTACATTAATCTATTTGAATCTCTATGATGATACCTTGGTCTTTGATACCTTGGTGAATATGATATGAATTTTTGAGTCTTCTTCAAAATTATAAATTTACACCATTCACACTCAGCTAAAAAGGACAGATATTTACTAGTAATTATCCACCACCAGATCTACAAAACGTTCCTTACCTTCTCCAATCTTCTCGATTTTTACGTAGTCTTCCATTTTTGCTGCAAACAAAGCCTTAACAGACTACAGTCCTGTGAAAAAAGAAAAATATTTTGAAATTGCAAACAAAAATGGTTACACAAAGATCTATATTCTGTGGGCATAAAAGCAAATGTCCGTACTCTCCAATAGTGCATGTAGTTGTTTTATTTTTCCGATCTCAGGCTAATCAAGACTGAAACCACGCTTAAATTTCAACTGTCTAAAATTTGGATCACCCACGCCACACTTCCCTTTGTCATGTAGCTTAGTGTGCATCTGTCACGAAATTTGTCAAATTTTACAGCATAAAACACAAAAATCGCAACAAGATCAACATTCCCTTCTGGCCCTACAAGTTACATTTCCTTTTAAGTCAACAAAGATTTCAAATTTTTTCCCAAACAGCGTAAAATAATGGTGCAAAATCTCACCAACCTTTTAAACCTTCCTCCAGCTGGATCCCTCCTCAGTTCTGAACTTACGTTTTCAAATCTAGTGCCTGGGTCTTCAAATCAACCAATGAGAGGTCGCCTAACATGTTACGGCCAATCAGATATCGGCTTTCTTTTTAGCCTCTTTTTGGATTTTCCCATCATGCTCTGAAACCCGGAAGTGGGTGTTTTTGCCCAAAAATCAGGTCGTCGGGATGGAATTTGTGACATTTTGTCCACATCAACAATTTGTATGAGTTTGGTGTGTATAGAAATTGTGCCTATTAGTCTGCTCCGACTTTTCAGTCGAGTGACATACCCCAGTGGACTTTGATACTCACGAGTTGCCCTGTGCAAACACTCGTGACTGCCCCCCTCCCATCCCCACTTTCCGAGTGAGAGGCCCATTTTTCTTTGGTTTGATCGGAAATTAGAAAAGAGGGCCGCCATGGCACTGGACATCCGCCTGAAGAAGGTGAATAAGATCTACTATGACGGGGAGCTCGTGTCTGGAGTTGTGGTGATCCAGAGTAAAGGAGACATGCAGCACCAAGGTAAACATAATGCCATAGTTTTTAAAGTAAAAGTCTATGAACGTTACTTCCAAACTTTAATACAGTAATATCAAAGATCCACCAGTTTCCATTTGTTGCTAGCATACAATGTAGTCAAGATTCAGAACTGAACTGCCTAAACTTCTAAGAGAATGCAAGGTGTACATTCCCAGCTATTCAACCTTCAGCTCCAAAATGATACTAGTAATATCATGCAGGTAGAAAAAGCTAATATGATTATGAATCAAACTCTGTCAAAAAATTTAGATTTCCTCAAAAGTTCCAATGAATATTTGTAGATGTGCAACCTTGCAGCCATCTGTTTTGTTATTGTTAGAAAAAGAAATGTGGCCATTTTCTAAAGCATTTTCTACATGAGTGTAAACCTTTTCATCACTACCAGGTGTGAATCTGTCAATGGAGGGTTCTGTGAACCTGCAGCTGAGTGCCAAAAGTGTGGGTGTTTTTGAAGCCTTCTACAACTCCCTGAAGCCCATCCAGCTAGTCAGCTACGCCGTGGAGCTGGTCAAGCCCGGCAAGCTGCCCTCCGGAAAGACCGAAATCCCCTTCGAAGTTCCCCTGAAGCCGAAGGGACACAACAAGGTGCTGTACGAGACATACCACGGCGTCTTCGTGAACATTCAGTACCTGCTCCGAGCTGAGGTGAAACGCTCCCTGCTGAACAAAGACCTGACCAAACAGAGCGAGATCATTCTGGAGTACAGGGACTCCAAGGACAAGGCCTCGGCCAAACCTGTGCCCTTCACCATCACACCTGACTCCTTACAGAACATCAAGGAGAAAAGTCAGGTTCCAAGGTACTGCAACAATTGTCTAGACTTGGGAAACCTAATGACAGCTTGCTCAAGGGGGGCCTGCATGCCCTTTTTCGTAAGGTGTAATCAGGCCTTTAAGTCTTCGTAATCTGTAGGCAGCCTCCCAAAAAGCAACATAATTCATAATACATGTAGTACATTAGCCGCAAAGCATAAAGTCGTAATCAGCTGAGAATTTAACGTATTCCATAATCGGCGAAAATTTCGCATGCAGGCCCTCCTCAAGATTTTCATGTACATATCATAACAAACTCCTTAGGGAGATTTTAAAAACTCTATGTGCATGTGAGATTTCAACTACTGTACTTCAGTGTATTTGTCATATTTTATAATTATAGTGATGCTGTTGTACATTGTCTTTTATAGAGTTATCAATGTTTTATAACTCTTTGATGAATATCCCTTTCTGTCCATTACAGGTTTGTTGTGAAAGGTAAGCTGGATTCCTCCGTATGCTGCCTGTCGCGCCCGTTGACGGGAGAGTTGGTCGTGGAAAGCTCCGAGTCGCCGATCCGCTCCATCGAGCTGCAGCTGGTGCGCGTGGAGACCTGCGGCTGCGCTGAAGGCTACGCTCGCGACGCCACGGAGATCCAGAACATCCAGATCGGGGAGGGGGACGTGTGCCGCGGGCTGACTCTACCCATCTACATGATCTTCCCTCGGCTCTTCACCTGCCCCACGCTCATCACATCCAACTTCAAGGTGGAGTTTGAGGTGAACGTGGTCATCGTGTTACAGAACGACCATCTCATCACTGAGAACTTCCCTCTCAAGCTCACCAGGTTCTAAGGACAATAAACTGAAGTTCTACGATACAAACTGCTTGTATTTTCATCATCAAGTTGTAGAAGTAGTAGACTCACAGCTATTGTAAGTTGGAAAGAGAGATGTTGGAAGATCATGCTGTGAAGATTTGTATTGAATAACAGTTACCAGTACAATTGCAATAGGGAATTGCATGTAAACATAGGCAGGAAGGATGGATGGGCAATTTCAACTTGTCGTATCTGCCCTACAAATTTATGGTCTGCAGGCAGATATGGAGAAATTTCCTTTACATAATGACCCATTCAATTCCTCAGTCACACTTACTATCTAATTTAATGTGTATTCAAAGAAATCGTGAATTATGAGTTCCTGCCTGTGTGTCCAATTATATGGCATTCCAATGTGAAACTTGGTACATCTTAGTTACAAAGGTACAGACACCACAGAAGACACAAACACGACACAGTCACGAAATCAACTTTTTCTTGCACAAAGTTCTTGATAGAAAACAGCACAGCAGTGTGGTAACAAGGATGTACACCAAGTTCAAGTATCGTCATCATCTCAGTTTTTACATCTGCACAAGACCTTCGGAACTTGACATGCATGTAAAAATAGTTTCTCTCACATCTGTTACACCTCAGCAAGTTCTGGTGTATCATACGAGGACTTTTATGGATAATAAACCGGGCAGGTGAACCCGTCTTTGCTTCCACATGCAGCTCAAGTTCCTGTCAAAAAGGGAAAAGCGGAGACTTTACAAAACCTGACTTTGGTACGGTTGCGTGGGCTATAATGGTTATGAGCAGGAATGTTCATTTTTGTTCCACAATCAACTTACTTCTGGATTAAATGCATTTTACATTATTGATGTCTAATGGGACTGTCTAAAAAATTCAACCTTCTTCTCAAAAAACAAGTAAAAGCATTGAATGAAGCTTTGAACTGACAATTCTGGCTTCTTTTTTAACATGCTTACAGTTCTTTGAGAAAACAAGTTGAGGTGGTCCCCCAGGGTACCTCTTCCGTTCAAGTGAAATTGCATAAATTTTGTCATTACCTGTACATTGTAACCTGAACTGCAAGTCATTATGTACTGTATGAATTAAAATTTACATCATGAATAAATTTAAATTATCAAATTATAAGGATCATCTTATATTGTGTCCAGGTAAACAGATTACTTGACAACTTAGTTATTTCAAAAGTTGTGACATCTTATGTATCATAGTATTACAGGTAAATGCCCAGTGAAGTAACTTTGTGGCCACTAATACAAACCAACTTTCAGGGTTCTAACTTTTCCTTACACAGTTGTGCACATTGCCTGATGTTGTAGGCTCACATCTTATTGCCCTGCCAAGTGCCAACCTCTCTTTTCTTTTGAGGAAGCAGCATTTAAATCCCCAGTTGGTTTAAAAGAAAAAGAAGTACAGCAAAAAAGTACAAACTACTTCAAGAATACTGAAGTGAAATGAGCAACACACTGGCTTAAGCTTTCACACAAATATTATATCGTGCAGATTACAAAAGTTAAATGTTCTTGATTTTTATATTCAGGTGAACTTTGCTGTATCTGACTCTCCCATCTGAGAGTCACCAAAGGCAGCCTGGAGTCCAGTCTTGTGAGCTTTAGTCTGTTCACCAAGATCCACCTCGACCAACACTAAGCTCTTTATTTGTCATAATTGCAGATCATTTAAATGGTAATGGTGCTCAGTTTCTAACAAGACTGAAGGGTAGTGCATTTTTGGGAGCAGACTAAAGCTAAGAAGGCTGCAGGGTAGCGGACTTTGGGGAGCGGACTAAAGCTAACAAGACTGGACTATAGGCTACGCCAAAGGGCCATCTGAGGCCTTGTCTTCTGAACACTACAGTAACATGGACACCAGGGGTATATCCACCACTCCACAGGGAACAGGAACATGCATTAGTACACACTTGTCATGAATAAGGGCCACAGACACACAGGAACATTGTCCAAGGGACTTACCTTCCTCTGCTACTTTTAACAACGAATGGCACAAGGACATGCAGAGAAAAAAAAATATCAGACTTTCTTCACTTTTCTCTTTCACCTTCAAATGCCACATAGTTTTAACAGCAGAGGAAAGTTACCTTATTAATCTGGGTAGTATTATGAAACAAGTTTGAGCTGTAAATTCCAACACAAGAAATTAGATTGACCCAAATTTTTGACGTTTTAACTCAAGTCCTTGTCAAGCAATCCACTGCTTCTGACATCACATTATGCAGATGACACACAGAACTCTGTGTGCAGTGGATCATATATATAGGTTGTAGAAAGTCTGTGGTTCTACCATCATTATTGAGGGATGGTTAGTCGAGCCCTGATGTACAGTGGATAGCTTTCCAGCTTTTCCTTGACAAAGACAGGAGTTGTTCAGTCAAAAATTTGGGTGCTTCTGTTGGAAATTACAGTTCGAACTTGCTTTCTAATGATTTCTACCAACACAGATGAACTTTCAAGATTACCTGGCAGAGTATTGGTCTAAATCAAAGAGGCAGCAGCACGACCTTACATAAGAGGTCAGGAGACACCTACAGCCAATCACATTTTTCTGACAAATAAACAATGCAGCAAAAGCACTCTACAAGAATATAGTAGCCCATATCATGGCTAGATATATGAATATAATGTTAAAAGTACATGTACATGTGCATAAGATCAAAAAATCACTAAGTGTAACAATCATATATTTATACATTTCCACCACCATTAAATAATGTTAAGAAAATCTCTGAGGAAAATCAAATCCAGGCTAGTAAATTGCACGTATTCCACTCGTGATACACAAAGAAGACAAAAACGGTGTGTGCACAAAATGGTAAGGTTGACAACAAGTAAACTTGTGATGTTAGTAGTGATAAAACTTTGGCTGTCATCAGTATTTTCTTGATTTGTAACACAAACACAATGTCATATTATCAAACACAGATATCTTCCTAACCATACACAGACTGCACGGCACGAGTCTTGAGTAGCATGCCCTGATTAGTTTGTTAATGTTCCCCTTTCTCCCAGTTTTATGTTGCAAAGAAGCAAAATATATAGACTTTATACTTATTCTAGGCAGATGCAAGTGGAACAAATGTCTAAATTACCTTTTTGCTGGGATGACTAATATAAAAGTGGTGCACCCCAATATGTTGGTCATAAATGTTGGTCATCATTATTCCTACAATATAACATCCGTATATGTCTGATTTAGTATCAAGGCTACGCCAATTTAATCAATTGGTTCACAGAGGATTCACTTGCTTCATTGTTTTCTGATTTGCAAAAAAAATTGTGGTTCTGAATCAACTGCAAAATGCTCTGTTTTGGCCCCTATAATTGAAGAAAGTCTTAGATGTTATTATAGTGCTCCATCTATAAAAGCAGTGGTTTGATTAAAAGTTTAAACTCATTATTACAAACCTGCCTGGTATATATGTTGTTCATGGCTCTTAGCATTTTGGGCTATACCTAGGCCTGTTGTTTTTGCTGTTGCTTCATACTTTTTCTAAAAACAATCAGGAGAACCAACAAATTAAATTGGTGTGGCCTAAGAAACAACAGCCTAGAAGTAGAACAAGCACATTGACTGCAAACAAGGTCTACCTTAGGACTCAAGATATCTCTGAAACTTTACAGAACTCCAGTCATTTCTACTGGTCATTCATGCACCTATTACAACTGTCTATGATGCAGTCAGTGCCATATGTACTTTTAAACAGTAAAAACCTGCACATATATACAGATCCCAGCACAACCTATGTGTAGTAGAGTAGAAAAAGTTTCAAGGCATTTCATGGCTTTACAGCTGTACAAGACCATAACTGGTTGGGGAGGGGGGCTTTGGGTACCCTTGTGACAGAGGCATTATTCTGTTACAACCTGCAATAAGAGATTAAAACAGATACTGACTGTTTGCTTTTTTTACTGCAGTCATTGCAAAGACTTCAAAACAAATTAGATTGGTTCTTGATATCTTATTGGTAGCCTTTTTTACGTTGTAACATCTTTGCAGGTTTCCCCAACTGAGAAATTATTGACATAAGTTTTGATAATTTGCAAAGACAGGAAAATTCTTTCTATGTGAAATAATTATGGTCTTTTTACTAGTGCTAAAATATGTGCAAACTGGTGCATACCTTAAATACACCTAGTACCACCTGGTATCAACAAACTAGCCAACAATACCAGAAATAGTAAGTTATAATAATTTCTATAAGAAAGTCATCTTTGATTTTGTCACATAACCTTTCTCAAAGTATATTTCTCCTAGAAGTGTATTAAAAATTGCCAAGCTGTTGAGCAATTACGTGGTCTAACGTGTGAGAATGGATCAGTTTCAGAAACAAGTCAGAAAAGCAGAATTTTTTTTCTGGTTACATTTGCATGCATTGAATCTCTTTGACTACAATTTAATTCGTGGTATTAAAGCATGTATTAAAGACAAATTTGAAAATCATTTAAAAAATGCTGTTGTGGCTCGTTCCACTTCTTAATAATGAAATAGGTCCTCATACATGTATCCCAATGGATAAGGTCATGGCCTGTGTTACACTTTTTCTGGGAGAATATTAAAATACTTTCAGAATGTTGGTGTAAAGTAAGACACTGTATCATTATCATTTTCAACCTTGTTTATGATATCTTGCATCACTCAGGAAGGGGACATACATAACAATAATCTGTTTGATTCACCACTAGTTTAGGTTTCAAGCCATACGTTCCTGGTCCTGTAATTGGTAAAAAAATGTCCAATTTGTTCAGATATATCCAATGATCCTTAAATGTTAGATATTTTACACTGAATCGTCACATAAAAGTAGATTCTTTTCCACCCCCGTGATGTGATGGTCTCTTCCCGAGGGTTAAAGGTGGCTGGATGACCTGTGACCTGACGGTCTACCTGCGGAACTGCCAGCGTGACTTCTGTGCCTGGATGTCGCTGATGAGGCTGTTTGCAAAACAGATTCCCAGGATCTGAAACAGAGTCAGACAGAGATTCAGATGGACAGTGGTCTTTGGTCCAATTCTTTAACCTCCTTAGTCCAAAGAGCAATCATTACTGTCTATAACTGAGAAAAATGAATGAAGTTTTCCAATGACCTGACAGAATTAACTGAACGTATTGTTAGCATATGATTATATGTAACAAAGCCTCTGTCAGTCAGAAAAATGATGATAACAATAATTGTGCAATATGTACACAATAATTTGGTACCAACATGAACTAATGTCAACCACAATATCATCACAGTAACTGTACTTTCTATTCCATACTGAGTATAAAGTACTGTATTGTTTAGATGAAAAGAAATAATAATAAGTCAATAAGGCTTGACCAACTAAACTAGACTAGACTAACTAAATAATGAAGACTGCAATGTTGTAATTGACCTGAAATTAGATATATTGCAAAGCAAGATAAAGTAATACAGATTCTAAATATAATCTTTCTACAAAACAAAATCTGTAGCTACAAGATGGCACAGAAGATCATTGCTGAAGCTATAAATAAAGGAAATGTAAGATTATATACCTGTTGACATTAGACTACAACAAAAAGAAGATCTAATCACTATTAAAGAACCTAAATACAGTAGTAGTAACAGAACGCTCTCAACATCTATAGAGTTTCTGCAACAAAAAAAGCAGGGGTACTAGACTCAGAAAATGTATGTACAATGATGACTAAGCTATCCTGATGAGTACAGTAAGCAATGCAGCTACAGGTTGGGCCATTCCAATGTTGGGCAGAGTGACAAGATATTGTTTACATGTGTATGTAAAATTGTTTTCAATGCCATGAAAATCTGTCAGGTCCAGCATGAAAATAGAGTATACTGCCATTCCTTTCCAGATTGGTAATTTTTCAAAATACAGTACGGTAACCCTGAGAGAGATTTAATTTTTTTAATGTAATTTTTATTTCCAAATACATGTATTTTCTACATGTATTTTGTACAGAGTATCAGCTGGCTGCTCAGTTTTGTCACTCTATTCTACACTGTACAATGCCCCTCCCTTCACTAGACAAGCATGGCTGCAGTATGTGTGGGCTGGAGACCATCCCAAATCCTTCCTTTCCCATCATGCCAAGCAAAGCCTGGCATCTCTCATTGCTGCCTAAGGGAAACAACCGGCAACATTCTGCCTTGGATTAGTAAAAAGTCTCAAGGAGAAGGATCCAAGACAAAACGTTGCTAAGGAAGAGTACTGTAGGACAAAGGTAGGGACACTGTGCAAGGCAACTTGGAGAAATGATGCCATAATTGTGAATACCATGGTTGTCAAATGATAATATAGAGGACTTCATATTTACTTGTTCTTTATTCTTTCTTGCCTTTTTGAGACTTTTTCTTTCCCAGTACTACTGGTATAACGTCTAAGAACTACACATAGTGCTGAGAAAGCAAGGATATAGATCAAGTAAGTAATATCATGTAATATCATGTATTACTACTGCTATTGTTTGTTTGTCTGATTTTGCCAGATATGTTTTCCCAAAACATTAGTTACTATGGTACATCTTAATCTTAGATTAAACTTCAACAGAACTACAGCACTAGGTGTGAAGAAGAAACCATGAAGGTTTTGTACAAGCTCTAACTGCACAGTGTCCCAACTGAGAGATTGGTAGAGAGACAGGTCAGCTGAATCAGGATGAGGGAAGGTCCCAGGTCAACTCAGGTCAGATATACCAGCCCAGAGACTGCACGTGGCTGCCTCTGTGTCCTGTACACTCCAGAACATTCAAGGACTCGATATGAAGCTCTCTCACCTTCCTGCATACAGTATGTCACCAAATGGCATTGCCTCACTACTAGGATCATAGCTATTTTTCTATACCATTCTACTCTATGGCTTGGTCACAATGAAACACTGTGAGAATCACATGTATGTCTTCTATTTTAAACGTGTAGTACAAATGTACATGTAGTTTAGGAACATTTCAAAGATTTGAGAGGAAAAACCTTTGTGGAGAGAAATACAAATGTCTAATGTCATGTATAATGTCATAGATATAGAATAGGTAACTTGCGTCGCAATGATTGTGTAGAATACAAATGTATGGAGATTGTACTGTAAAGTTTTACTACAGTAGGAAAAAAAAAGGAAACCAGTAATGCAAATCTTCTGAAAAAAACAAAACTTTTCTTGGAAATGTTTTGATTTGTCATATATGTGGGCGGAATGATCAAAGGTGATTTGAAAAAGTTATCTATATTGTATAAGTCAGTGTAAGGATCATTCGTAGCTTTGGAACAATGACAGTGCTGAGACAGAATAACTAGATTCAACTTGTTTTTGTCTTTCTCAAGAATGTAAGTCACTTAGTAAGTGTATGAGTTATAGGGATGGAGCATTCACCACTCAGCACAGACTGAACTGAAATGAAGTAAGTCCTGGAAAATTCAGAGACACAGAGGCAGACATGGCAGCTTTGTGAAGCGAGAAGGCAAAAGCGTTTTTACCCGCCCCGCCCTGGAAAGCTGTGCATGGGGGTTACCAGAGGGCCTGAATGGCCTGAATATCGCTGACCAGGCTGTTGGCCAGGTAAATACCAAACACCTGAAACATGAAACATGCAGTCAGACAGGTGACAGTCATGCAATCAGTAGATCACTGGTACAGGCATGCATATAGGTGAGCTTCAGTAGAATGTAAATACTTGTTTGTATACTTGGTATTTTGGCAGAACATACATTGTACTGTACCTGCATGAAACTTGTAATGTATTACAGTGTATGGCACTTCCACAGAATGTATTTAAGAATGACATCTTCTCTATAGTTTTTAAAAGTTTAGTAGGAGATCTACTTCACATTGTAGTACTGTGTTGACCAAACATTCAAAGAAAACCATGAAAAATACAGGCTTCACGCAAGCACAGTATATATACGTTCTGCCAATAATGTACTTGTAAGCTACTGTATACCAGTCCTGTATAGATCAATATATACATTGTATACATGCATATACAAGCATAAGGCAATCAGAGAATGACAAAACTAGCTGCTACAAGTGTTACTACATGCACTGCCTAAGCTTAGGTAAAAAAAAGATTGTCATTTCTGGGTAAGTTGAAAATCACACTGGGTTTGAATGGTCTGGGGAAGGACTGGGGTTAATCAGTTAATGGAACACAGTATGTTGAACAATACATGTATCCACGGCAATAATGCTGATGGTATGTATTTGTTTAAAGACTACCATACTGCTGGAATACATTGAAAATAAGTGGATGGACATTCTATGCTTTTGGACAAAAAATCTAATGTTTTAAACAGACATAAGCAGACAGGACTGGTTTTGTGATAGAAGACAGGGACAGGAACTGGGTAGAATGCAGAAGCTGACTATGACAGAATAGATAGGGAATGTACAATGTAGCAACAGGAAAAGCTCAAAGAACACATAAATGTACATGAACACATACAATGGATTATTCAGGGGTGGATCATGGATCATGAAGATACTTATTACAGCATAAAATATATGTACTATTATTACCTTCGCCAAGAAGGTTATGTTTTCAGAGGCGTTCGTGTGTCTGTGTGTGTGTGTGTGTGTGTGTGAGCACGATAACTCGAGAACGCCTGGATGGATAGTCTTGATATTTAGTAGGTGGGTAGGTCTTGATGAGACGTGGAACTGATTAGATTTTGGGCCACCTAGCGGTTTGTTATGGTACTGCAGCTGAACTTCCGGTTTTGATATCTTGTGATCTAGACATGCTAGGCTGACGAAATTTGGATGGTAGGTAGCTCTTGTGATAGGGAAGAAGTGACGTGAGTTTGGGCCCCCTAGCTGCTTGCTCTGGAACTGCAGGGGTGTTAGTTGAAAACCGTTTAAAGGCGGATAATTCAAGAACCGATTGATGGATCATCCTGAGTTTTGGCATGTAGGTAGCTGAAGTGATGCATGACATAATAATATTACAATTATGCAAATATTAATGTAATTTGCATAATTAATGAGGAAATTCTATAAATCAGCTGCATTCCATGATATAGGACTATTCAAGCTTGTGACATATGTAATTCAGAACGTCAGAAATACAGGAAGATATTGATTATGCAAATGAAGACTTAATTTGCATAATTAGTGAGAAAATGTTATAATTACATATTGGTAATGTCTGGAATTTCATACTTGGGATATTTGAAAGTTATGTGAAGGTGAACATAATTAAACATAACTTATTCAAATAAGGACCTCATTTGCATAATTTATGAGGACATGCTATAATGGCATGCATTGATAAGATAAGACTGTCTTCTGGTATAGAATATGATCAGCAGATATAATTGATGCAATATAGGATCCTATTTGCACAATCAGGGGGATTAATCTATTATTTCTTAGTCATAAAGGCTAACATCATTTGGCGAAGGTATGAGATCGTGGAACTCTAGTTTCATTCTTATTATAATATTATACTATTATTCCTTGTGATTTCAGAATTTGGCTAGATATCAAGTTCCCAAATTGGGTATAAAAATGAGTTCAGTAGAGTTAATGGGTACCAAAAGAACCCCTAGATTGATCCACCTCTGACAATAAGACTTTAACCTTCATCCTGCTAAGGCACCAAATCTGTATTGGTTACACAGGTTAGGTAACAGGGAGAAGGTTAAACATGTAACATCACACATGAATGTTTAGTATGTAATCAAACATTATGATACCAATTTTTCAGTATAGGCTCTCAGTACTGCAGTAGAACTTCTGGTTTTGTTACGATCTAGAGATGCTAGGTTCACAAATTTTTGGATCATGGTAGATCACTTTTGTGTTTGGGAAGAAGTGGCATACGTTTGGGTGCTCTAGCAGCTTGTTCTGGGACTGCAGTGGTGTTTGTTTTAAAATTTTTGAAGGAGGATAACTCAAGAAGCGCAGTGTACTCCTAACTAGTCTTACCTGTAGCAGTGCTATTCCTATGGCCACTCCTGCCACCACAAACAAATTGTCTTGCAGCCAGGCTTCAAACTGAGGCACACAACCTTTTGTGTAGATGGCTAAGGCTCGTGCACTCGGCTGTACAACAACAGAAACACAGGTTTGTCATACATGTACATCATACATGTACGTACAGGCTAGCACATCAAACTTTGATGACTTAAGACTGGTTCCAAAGATTTTGACAGGATACTGGTAGGTGAAATCAAAACTTATTTCCTAAAACTACACACCAGCTTTGCAGGCACACAGCGCGATCAACTTGTTACACCTAACCCTTGAACTTCTAGCTCTAGACATTGTTTAAAGCTATCTATTGACAATGCCCCTACTGTACGCGGTTAGCTGTAAACCAGTTAGCAAATTGGGACCCCCACATGCTGGTTGTTCCACCGGCAAACATTAACGCATACAAAGGGAGCCTGCAGTACCAGGGTCCAGTGCTGTGGAACCAGCTCACGATAGAACAGAGAAAGCTCCGAACTGTAACGGCCTTCAAAAACTCATTGTAATTATATTGTATTTGTACTGCTGTATGGCTATTATGTGCTATGTACTGTGTTGTTATCATTGTATTGTTTCTGCATTTTTATTGTACCCAGATCTACCTGAAAAGCAGGTCAAATGACCTGAGTGTATCTTGTGGTTAAATAAATAAACTGAAACTGAAACTGTACTTGGTGACAGTGAGTTCCACTCTGCGATAGTTCTAGGTAAGAATGAATTCTTGAACACCTCAATTCTTGGTTGACAACTCTGGTACTTGAAGGCATGGCTATTTCTTGTTCTCTAGTAAAGGTACTAAGTACAGGTGTACCCACTTCATGTGTGATGGTTACTTTATTTGTATTTTTATGTTTGTATGCCTGCTTTCTATGGGAAACACACCCCAAAATAGATAAATTAATTTCTATTTTATTCAATTCAATTAACTTCCAGATAATGAAGAGACACTGTGCTCAGGATTCACGAGTTACCCAGTATTACTACCCTTCTGGCACCAAGCTTGAACTTAATTCCTTTAGCAGAGATCTGGGAAAGTGATTACATACATTCCTGGCAGTTTAGGCTGGTCTTTAAGTCCACAATTGGCACATTCTTGGCACAACCTTCCACCCCCCCTATCTTGCTAATCCAGCCAATTTTCTAGCAGCCCCACCTTGATAGTTTTCAATTTCTTATCTCCCAAATACGCAGCCATCCACCATTAATTTTTGGGCTTATCACTCAATCAAATTATCAGCCTACCAGATAAGCTGTAACAGTCTCAGTATCTCTGTTGTACAACACATTACGGTGCATTTTGTTGCAGTTTTTAAAGTGATCACAAGAGGCCCTTTTTTATCAGAAGTCACCAGTGACACACAGCACATATGCTGTATTTCTCAATACATGTACTAACAATGACTATTCAGCATAGATACAGCACATTCTGTACCAAGTATGTTTAAAAATATGTGTATAGATTTATTACCATTTAAATAATGTAAACTGTATCTTTGAACCTCTTCCCTCATGACCTCAATGAAAAGTGTCCTGCAGGCCAATTTAAGCTTCTCATGAATAAACAATGGTTCAAACAAGAAAGCAACCCACAACACATACATAACTTTACAGTACACAGCTCAGGAGAGCCATGAACCATTGTTTAGTCCTGTACATACGTTTGTTTCCTCTTCCCTGACGTCATATCCACACTGGGTGTTGAGGACGTTGTTGTTCCCTTGGTCCTTGCAGCATGAGAAGGGGACCCCACAGGCCTCTCTGGACCCGCGGGCCTTCAGTGTGCAGTTGAAATAGATGTTGTTTTCCCAGTCGTTGAAGTCCTTCCCTCCACAGCACTGGAACTACATGGAAACAAGCACACATTGTATTTAATACCTCCAGGGAAGGAGAAATAGTGTTTTGATCTTCATATGTGTATTGTGCTATAACTCACAGAAGGTTTGTTTTTTTATTGTACTGCAGTATCTGTCTTTTCAGGACAAAACTAAAATAGTTTCACATCCCATGCTGTATGCGGTGTGGTAGAAGATACTACATGTAGTAAGCCATGTGGGACTGATGGGGTATACCACACTACTTTCAGAAAGGGGGTGTATAAGCCTGTGTTGTGAATGATAATTGTGATATCACCTATCTTTCATCATTACTGGTAACATTGCTGTTAATGTGATGTCTGAAATTGTCAGCAGTCATTGTGAACATGATGCACTATATATTTTCTGGAGGTTTGGAATCTCAGATTTCTTGTTTATTCCCGTACATTGATCAGTTTAGCTGTTCGGAATGTCCCAGAGGGGCCTCTTGCAATTGGTTGCTTTGAATTCATGGTATGGGTCTTTCCCTTCTTCCCCTTTCATTTCAATTACATCCAACCATGCATTACAATTTCTTATTCCCAACTGCCCTTTTATTTTGAAAAACATCTTATGATCACCCTTCATCACTGTTAACTAAATCTGTTAATACTTAACAGGTGGGAAACGATAAAAGAGCTTCCTAGTGTCGAAGCTTTTCCTCTTCTATGGTTTTACTCCTTCAAATCACCTAAGAAGGCTTGAGTAGCCTGGTGGCTTAACTAAATGGGGTTGAATTGCTGAAATATACCTTTACTTAGCGACCAGAGCTTCATAAGTATTCACGAAGCTACACTCATCGAGGCACTACAGAAGCACATTTAGAAACGACTGCGATGCCTAACTGAAAATGGTTGGAAAGGTCATATCGTCTATTGATTTTGGGGTTATGTTGATGTTGGTCTCAGCTGGAAGCTACAATGGGAGCTTTATAACTGGAGTCTTGGTACCAAAACAGGGAGACGGGCTGTCTCCTGAAAACTTAATGAAACCACAAGGCTGGAGACGTGTCCTTGACATGTTTCCTGGTACAGCTATCAATGAGTCAATAGTTCTAAAGGCACCCATGGCAGTATGCAAGCATTATCTGAGCAACCTTGGTTAAAAAATGACAGAAATGATAAATGAAATATATAGGTTTAATAAGTAGACTGGTATATCTCTTTAGTTTGGTTGCTGGTATAATCTGCTTGAAGGAAATATTTACAATTTAATTTTCAGCATTTATAATATCCATGACATACTGATGTATTCATGCAGTCATTCTGTACAACCGAAGTCTCTAAATGAAATTCATACAGAAACTTGCAAGCTACATGATAATTATGTACCTCACACTGTATGGTTTTTCCATCCAGGGTTTGCATATCATGACTTTGTGATGCACAAAAGCAATTCAAACCAAGACTGGTAATCCTTTGGGGACTTTTGCATTGAAATGTTCTGCTGCATTTTTTAATAACCACTTATGCCGACATGGTTGAACAATAAATGTGCAAGGCTATACAACCTCACCCATTTATTCTTTGAATTAATTTCACAGAAATTTTTAAAAATTTATATTTCCCTTAAGGCATGACTTCCGTGCTAGGGGAATAAAATTTGGAGCCAAGTTTGCATCAGATTTGGGTGAACTGGGATCAGCTATAAGTCAGTTTGATTGGGGAGATTGGTTCTGCCAGCTGGCATAGTTCCATACAGACCCTTACCCAGGGCCATGTGCTGGCCATAGGTTACCACAGGTCTGCCTGCCAAGCACTTATCTCTCGCACAGAGCACACAGTAATCCACCCCTAATGGAGCCCAACTCTTTCATTATATTACGGCAGACTCCGGCCAAAAGGCCCGTGGCCTTGATAAGATGGAGACGGAAAGTTATCTATCCTCCAGTGGCCTTCGCTGAACATGATGGACAACATCAAACGTCTGGCGCCCGGCCAGGAGCCATGCTTTTATTTCAGGCAATATATATACACTGCCTGGAGGAGGGGAATGCTATCGCATGTGGGCTTGACAATGAAGAGGGATTGGCAAGAAATCGCAGAGAGAGTACTCTTGGAATATAAATATTTTTGGTCTTTTATACTTGTATCAATAGCAGGCAACGCTTTTCTTTGACTAGTCAGGCTGAAGAAAATTTTATAAATGCATTTTATTTATCCATGTGTGTGCTTCCACATATTTGTGGCCTGGATGGATGGTGATATTTGGTCCGTGGGTACGTCTTGGGAAAACAAAGGTCAAGGTCAAATGTAGGCCTACTGGTGACTGTCTTTGGTATTCCAGCAGATCTTGCAGTTTTTGTATCTTTTGTCCTAAACATGCTAGGATTTTCTTTTATATTTTTGGTGGCAAATAGCTTTTCATGTGAGGAACGAGTGATAAAGGTTTGGTGCCCCAACCAGATTGTCGTGGAACTGCGGGGTCAATTTGGTTAAAATCTTTCAAAGAAGATAACTCAAGAAATGAACATATTTTCATGATTTTCATGACCTTAGTGAGGAACAACAGATTTTCATGATTTTATACTAGTAAGGTAAGGTAGATTACTATGACCTTTACAGAATAGAGTAATATCCTGCAGACTTTCAGTGTACATGTACTTACATAGGACTGGACAAAGTCGATGATGTTCTGCAGGTCAGGGTCATCCCTGTAGTGGATGATGTTTGCCTGGATGAAGTTGTCCAGCTGCTGCCTGAACTGTGGGGAGAGAAGTGTATTGCCGTTGCAACTTGGGTAAAGATTCGAACACGTGACCTCTTGATCTTGTGTCCACTCCCCCTTGCTACTCAATGCCACAATGATTTACCAAAACCTCAGTTGTATAAAATTGGATAGACAATGCAGCCCTCATATAATGACATTCCAGCTCGTTTTTTAATCACTATAAAGTCGTAAAGGTGTGCTAATAAAGCCAATCAACAGGTATCATCTTCTTTGCATTAAAGAAGGATATGAGTTTAAAATTTCACTCGAAAATGCATATTTGTGCCATTTTCTGAGCTTGTACATTTTTCACAAATACATGTAGCACATTAACATCATTTCATTGCTTAATATTAATGATTTGTAATAAAGAATAAAATTTGCATGTGTCATGGAATACTCTCATGGGGATAATACTTATCATTACTGTTACAAACACAGTGCTTATTATCTTTGGGGAAAACACTGTCACATTATAAATACATTTATTATTCCACCACCAATATTAGTCTACATTCTTGATCATTCCATTTGGGGAAAAAGGGGGGAGGGAGTTTAATATATGCTGCACTCCTCAAACCCTTTAAGGTTTTCTAAATTAGCAATGCTAATGTGTAATGTTTCTGACCATGTCCTTACTGTACTCACCCAGTCCTTGTACACAAAGCCCAACACGCCCACAGCCAACTCCACAAAAAAGATGATGCCGAGAACCACAGAAAACTGCAGGAGAAACACAACTTTTCATTACTACATGTAGATAATTCCTCTTCTATTGATCTATGTTACTTGATTTACGTACATCTAGCACAACATATTTTTACCTTCATACTTCTTAAACATCTAGTATCAAACTATATGAAGATACGACTATTCTGTACTGACATGTAATGTTCAAAATGTAGGTAGACAGTATTTTGGTATTTATTTCTCTATTCATTTTATTGTCCTCTGTAATTCCACGTGCATACAATAAAAATATGCTAGATGCAATGTTGTACATGTATTGTAGTATCTTGATGTTTGCTTTCTTCAAGCTGGAGACAAATACGTGGTTCTTAAAATTATTTAAGACGCTACTTTATTGTTGGCTTCCATGATGCCAAATCGATTGTGTTGTTAGATTCTAACAAATTTCTTTTTTCAAACTTCTAACAAACTTCAATGTCCAAATTTCCTTCTGCTTCAAATCACTGTTTGTTGCTGCTAACCTTCCCCCTTAGGCCTAATGCTGTAACTAATACAAATTTGGTGCCAAAAGGCTACCTTAGCGGTCAGAAGGTTAAAAACTAAACTCACAAATCTGAGCAGGATGATGTTTTCCCTGAGCGCCCCGACACAGCCGGAGAAGCCCAGGATGAACATGATGGCACCCACCACCACGAAGATGAGCACAGGGTCCACAGGGACATTAGCCACCTTCGCAATGTTGTCAAACGTGCCCTGTTGAACAACACAGACCAATCAGTTTGCTGCAACACAGCTTGTCCTATACAGGTAAAATTGAATGCTGCACCTACCTACACCTAACCTGCACTTGTCCATGTACTGGGTTCATATAAGCCTTGGCCACAACCCGCCGTACGTGCTTCTGCGTGCTGTCTATGTGCAAAAACGTGGGCAAAAGTAGGGCATCTGTGCGTGGTAAGTACCACCTCCGTACGGAATCCTACGGATTTGGGAGCACGCAGACACGCCATAGAACTTTAAGTGCATGTAAAACTTTTTCACCACTCGTACGTGCGAGTGACGTGCGTCGACGCCACTCCTTTCCCACGTTTTCAGAAAAATGTAGCAGACGTGGCCTAAAAAAAAAACGTACGGACAAAAAGCACGCACAGCGGGTTGTGACCGGGGCTATACAGGTATAAATGTAGTTGTATGTGAATTTTTACAACTACATTGTCAGTGTTAACCACCTATGAAATGGTGATTTCGGAACAGTTTTTAGTGTGATCCATGCTTTCCTACATTCTAAGTTGTACAGCTATGCAAAAAAGTATTTCGAGCCCTGATTATACCACTTCAACGATTAAGGAAGTCTCCAAATAAACACAGAGAAAATTGCAAGTCTCTGCCATCTATCATAAGCTTTGAAACGCCTGGAGTCGCTAAGGGAAACCTGCCAAAGATCAAGAAAATATTTGTTATTAATCTTTTTCTGTGGGGCACAAGCTTCCTGGGTATTCATATTAGATTTGTAGTACAGGGTAGTAATAATCCACCTCCTGTAAGTAACACAGTAGGTGTACTTATGGGAAAGGTAATTGAAAGAGGGAGTCCTACCATTTTGAAAAGACCAGAGCCCAGAGGAAACAAGGTTACTGGGAAGAGAAATTAGCTCAAACAAGGTTGGCCTAGATTTCTCACACCATGGGTCACCGCTAGAGATGGATTTTCTTACATTCAATTTACAGAACCGTGAGTGCCAGTTTAATCAGCTATGTTATAAATGTGGGACAAAAAAGATTGTAATTCCTGTGGAGGAAAAACACACATGGCCTGTTTCATGAACATTATTTACATGTAGTCTGTATATATTCTACATGTATAATTATGTAGATTAGTCACTCAAACATCTATAGAATATGTTTTGTATAGGTACAGCTGCTCACTGTACCCTTCATAAGTATAGTTTAGCGTAATGTAGAACGCACGTGTAGAGTTTAATTATTTTCTAGCCAGCAGTTCTTAATTACACTTTGTCAAACACAGTAACTGTTGACCATATATGTAGAATTATGATAGACTCATAGCAACAAGTTATTATTTGCCATACATTGTACCCGTGACAATCGTTGTGCAATAAACTTTGACTTGACTTGACTTGTTACTAGTACTAGCATTCCTTAATTTCAATGCTACTAGTTCGTTTACACCTGAAGAAATATCATTATTTCAGCCACAGTCCTTTAAAATTTATGCCTAGATTTACATATATCTAAAATCACTGGGGACAAACATGGTGTAAAGTGACTGGTCATTAATTCTGGGCAAACCACTAATTGGGTGCCTCTGCACAAATTGAGTTACACCTCCTGAAATGTGCTGTCTTAAAAGGAAGACAAAAACAAGTGAGCAGTTTTACCTTTTCAAACCATGCCCAGAGTCCTATGCCCAGAATGAAGCCTCCTGCCAACTGTAAAAAACAAGACAAAGGTACATGACATTGTGTAATCATTATAACATTCTAAAGGTGCAGTATTTCATTCGTTCATTGAATTTGCATACATAACATTGTATAATCGTCATACAAAATGGCAAAATACACACAATGTCAAAGCTAACACAGTAATAGTAAAAGGTGAAACACTTTATTCTGAGTTGTATGCTAAAATAAAGGTAAAGGTAATCCCATAACCTTTTGAGGCTGTGACAGTGGGTTGTTATTCTCGTACTGTGTCTACGGTATTGGAAGGTGGAACCTATCCTTCTCCTTCCACTGCCTTTTACAAAATGTACAATGCATCTCCCGAACTGAAGTCAGGTACCCATTTTACACTCGGATGTAGTGAAAACATTCATATAAAGTGCAGTGGACACAATGTTTAGGAATACCACTGGGATCGAACCCATGACCTTTCAATCTCATGTCGCTTGCCTAACCACTGTGCCATTTGATGACACACAAAGCTAAATTTACCCAGTACCAGACAGCCCATTCCTTAGGATTTTACCATATGGCTCTCCCTTACAATAGTTACCGGTACATACAAGCCTTTAATATAATCACATTGTACATGCCCTGAACTTCTCTTGTGCCTCTGAAACCCAGTCTCCCATTCCTGTACCATCTACTGCTCACAATCTAGTCAATAATTGAAGCTGGGCCATCCTGGACTCAGCTTGCAGAGCAGTAACTAGACCTCACTGTTCGTATGGGGAATGATTCTACCATTCCTAGGTACACTTTAGTAGACGATTACAGATGGGCTATTGGATTTCCGATATCGCTGTTGGCGTCACTGTAGGAGGAGGGTGAACAGTAACTTGCGAAGCATAGCGCCACTGAATATGGTGGTATTCTGAAGCAAACAAGCAACCAACCAAACCCAGGATGATGTTTTAATGTTTGAATGACATATATGCAGTTAGCATATAGCTTGTGCGCTGATGGCTGTACCAGAATAGAAACGCAGGTTTGTCGGCTCTGAGTTACTGTATATGCACAGGATAGCACATCAGGGCTCAAAATACCACCTGCTTATGCAGGTTAGTGCAGGTAAAATTGGAGCTGTGCAGGTATTTCTGATGTCTGCCTGCACCTAACCTTCACCGGTGCATGAACTGGGTTACATGTACATTTACAAATGTAAGTTTGTAGATTTTTATTTGGTGCTTAGACTGCTACCACCTATGAAGTGTAAAAGAAATACTGTTAATGACAATGGTTTTTAAACACTTTTGGTAATTTTCAACATAACCTGCACCTGTGCAGAGATGAAGAAAAAATGATTTCGAGTCCTGATTAGTGCAATGCAAACAAAAGTGCTGTACTGAATTACAAATACAATTTCACATACAATTCATAGAAAGAACACATATGGCAATAAAACAAAAGACGAAATCATTGAAGAATCAAGTTGGATTAACTGCGGAGCTGATTCTGTACATTACGGCGGTGCAATCAGAGAGGCAATCTGGGGCTATAAATCTATCAGACTTATCATTGCTTTAGTTAGCCGCTAATGGCACATTTTATACCCCGGTAGACTTACCAGCGTCTGCGGCGCTTTATAGCTGAGTAATAATCTTTAAAGGGCTAATGAAGTATACGGTATGTACACCAACCATGATCACTGTAATGCACTCATAACATCCATAAGGGGCTAATAGCATTGGCATACTGAATGTGTTGTAATGTTTCTATTTTGTAGCTAGTATGTTTTAGTAATCTTCTACCAGCATAATAACCAATTTACAGCTACATTGTAGCTAATGTGTAGTTGTTATCATTACCACCAAAAATAATATGATAAATAAAAAAAAGGGAACCTTACAATTGCAGCTGGTCATTTTTAGCTCATTTTTGTCAATGCCAGTATATAATATGAAATGATATTGTCAGGAATCATGACATGTAAATAACATGAAGATTTCAGTATTTAGAAAAGTTCTGATTTTGTTGCAAATAATAATGAAATATCCCATATTTACTATCTTTAAGTCTGCCGGGGCTTGAATCCAGAGTCCCTGCATTGGTATAGGTACTCTAACTTTTGAAATAAAGTATGCATAACCTGGTGCAGGTGCATCAGACATACCTCCACAGCTCCAATTTTACCTGCACTAACCTGCATATGCAGGTGGTGTTTTGAGCCTTGTGTGTTGAAGCAAACAAATTGACTTGGGCTGGCCCAACACCTAACATGCCTAATGTATTCCTGTACAACCCTTGCTTAGAGAAGATAACAGACCCAGGTGTACCAGTAAGGGAGTGATGCATGCACCAGTGGGTGGCACACACTTGTACTTTACAAGGATGAATGGGTCATTTGTGGTAGTATTAGGTGCAGAAACATAAAACATCACACCAACAAATTCTACTGCATCATTTATCACCGACAAGCAATTTACTTCATATGCCGGGGACCGAGTAAACAAAATGTTTTCAACCAACAAGCATTGAAAACCAACTTAAAAGTAAACTAAAACCAACTAAAATTTGAAAACCTAGCTTTTTTGGAAAAAAACGTTTTAAGCTCACAAAAAAATATTTTGCATTTCTATACCATTTTAACTATGACTTAACGTACTAAAAATGTCCTTTAAATTTTTATATCCACAAGTAACAGTAGTACATGTTGTACATGAATATGTTGATGTTAATTGTTATTCACCTCGTAACATTCTTGATGATTATACTGTATATTCCAATGGTGGTAGTACAAGTATCATGATCTTAGTAATTTTTAATTTTGATTTTTCTAAATTTCAGAAAAGCAGCAACATAATTTTTACCACTGTGTTAACCCTAAAAATCACTAAATCATGCCCTTCTGTGGTGTTCTGTGAATATTGATCCCTTCCACAGTCCCTATAATACTTATCACTGGTATTGACCAACCCAACTGGCGTTTTGAGATATCGTCCCAAACCGCTAATATCACTTAATTACTGGTACAACTGACAAGACATCAATAAGTCCTACTTTCAGTTTCAAATGTATGTTTTAGAAATGAAGATTGCAAGTTAAACAAGCTGCTAGGGGGACCACACCACTTGATCCTGATACTACATGTATATGCCGCCAAAAAATCATAACCATACACATAGCAGGACAAAAACAGGCTGTAGTACAGTGGTCAGCCACCAGGAGGCCAACATTTAACCTTGACCTTTATCTTCCAAAGACCTACCCACATACCAAATATCATCAATCCATAAAGGCCTTCTTAATTCATGCTTACCACAAATACACAGAGACACACACACAGACAGACGCGCACACACACACACACACATAGACAGACCAAAAACAATACCTCCATTTTTCATGGAGGTAAAAGCCTTTTATAAGGGCGCAATGTTGTCCCCACAACACAATCCACCACCAAATTGAACAAAAGGAATATGAATGTTTGGCTTCCTGGCTTGTGACACTTCATAACATCACAGGTATCTTACCATAAATCTTTGGATCAGGGAAAATATCAACGTGCCATCGTGCTTCCCGCTGCAGTTTTGATATGAACCGGATGACATATCACGTCCCCGTGGCTTCCTCCAACTTCCGACCTTTCCCGATGAGTCATCTTCCCCCCTGCACTCGCGATCCGGCATCTATATTACATTTACTGGCATTCAAAGCCATTATTTGTACATCCACAGAACCTCAGAGATACTGCCGAACAAAGCGGGATATCCATAACCCTTCCCAATTTGTGGGGATATCATTCCGACTGCCGGACGCACATCTATCACTCGGAACGGTTTTGATGTCATAAAGCGAGGCTGGCTTTGAGTTAGGAACTCAGACTGGGGCTGGTGATGCTATTGTGTAACTGTCAGCACAAATCAGCTGGAGGAAGTTAGAAGCATACACTGGAGAAAAATGGGTACTGGTAAGACACACATGACAGTCTATCTGCCTGAAATACGTATTACTATTACTAAACCTATTTCTGCACTTATCAGTGCTATGACCACAGCCTTTCAGACATATGCTCCCCAAAATTAAGTCATTTGCCTGGAAATTTTTCATAGGAACACCTAGCCTGAGTCCAGCCCTGTTGTAATTATAGTTTTAGTCCCCAAGATCCACTATACCCCTCAAACAGTTAACAAGGCTGGAAACCACCGTCTGAGGAACATCTAACTATCACTCTCATCAAAACTTGCATGCACTGAAGTGTCTGTATCATGGACTGCAAAGCTAATCAGTCAAAACAGGATGGCTGTACTTGGTACTTTTTTGCTCTCTGATCATGATACTTCCACAATACTCACCTTTTTACAAGTTTACTGGCCATGTGTTCAGCATAATTATGTATACAGTATAAATGGATGGTTGCCAACATTCATACCAACTATCCCACCCTATTTGTCCTATATATAATCACATGTCTTCAACCTTTAGAACACAAAGACAGCCCATCTATATTCCTAACATGTATCTCCTGGGTTGTAGGTCACTGCCATAATTCTGACAAATGGACGTCATTCTGGCCCCCCTCACCCCGTCTGTCCAGTTTATCACTCCCATGTGATCTATCTTGTTTGTAGTTCCATGGATGCCTTTGCGCCCGCCTTCATTCACCATAGTTACTGACTGCTCCTCAACTGAATCTTATAGCAGTCTTCCTTCAGCATCAAAGGACTTTTAGTGTGCATTTGCAGTAAAAGCTCAGAGTTTGAAGTAGATGTCTACCTAAAGTTGCAAGGCAAGCAAATCTTGTAGCAGTCTTGCAGCATATCTCCAGAATCAAAGGATTTGTAGTGTGCATTTGCAATAAAAACTGATGAGTTGGAAGTAGATTCTAGCTGAAGTTGTAAGGCAAGTGGCTAATGGTCTTTCTTAGCTGTCACTCTCAGATCCTCAGGTAGTGATTTTCAACTACAAAGTTGGAATAACGTTGATCAGTGCATTTTGTACTAGATGAATAAATAAAAGCTATAACTGCATCATCATCTTTCCTG